AAACATATATGTCAAGTAAAGTTGAATATTTTTTTATCAATTAGCAGTCATGATATACAAATAAATGAATAATCACTCAAAAAGTTTAAGTAGAACTTTACTTTTGTAAAATGAGTATTTTTAATATTCTTTAACTAAACTTAACAAATATTGTGTGTTATGTATTTTGATATCTTATATTTCCTGTATTACTTTCTGTCAATATAAATATATAATATTACCAATATAAGTATGTACTATTGCCCTTCCAAAAAAAATGTACTATTGAGTAATAGCTTTTAGATAATTTTGTTAATTATGTACTCCGTATATTTTTATACATTAGTCTGTGGGCTGGCCCATTTACCACGTAGAGCATAACCCGTCACGAGTAGGGTTGGATCTGGTTCGCCCGTTTGACAACTCTAATGCCCCGATAATTGTTTATACAATTTTTAATGTGTATGTCTTTTTGTAATAAAATTATATACACAATACGTATTTAGCATTCCGTATAACAATTTATATGTGTTTCTTTTTATTATACTCCGTGTTTAAATATTTATTTATTATCATGTATCATAAATAATAAGATAAAAATATTATCTCGTGCATCGCACGGGTACAATACTAGTTATTATTATACTTTAATAGTTGCAACGGTTTGACTTTCACATTTGCCAACGTACAACTTTGATTGTAAATGTATCTAATTACGTATTACTAAACATTATAAAGAGTTAATATATTGGAAATTCACATTAATAGAAATTTAATATGTAGTAACGTTTTATATATAGTAATTCGATTATATATATTAATAAAAAATCGTAGTTAGAGGAAAAGTTCAAAAAAAACACAATATTACAACTATTAAACATCACTTTAATTTAAGCATTAATACTTCATTGCAGTCAAATTGAAAAGAAATAGTTTTAGCATTATTTCCTTAGATTAATGTCATCATTATGCATATTGAAATAAATTATAGATAGTGCATGCTATGTAGGGCCCGCGGATACCATCAAATTCTTTGCTGAAATATCGAATATCCATATAAAAGTCAAAAGCGAACATCCTCGTAATATTCAAATTTTAACTTGACTAATTAACTTTATTGTTCTGGTAAAAAATAACTTTATTATTGTTTCATTAATAAAAAACAAATTAACTTTTATACACACAGTAGAATGAGCAGTGGAAATGTGAAATGGTGGATTTACTAATCCACTTAGAGAGAATTCCCTAAATAGGAGTAAAAACGTTTTGAAATTCCAAAATAGGAGTATCATGTTTTTTATTCCTTGAATAGGAGTAATCTGCCAAGTTTGAAAGAAAATGCCATGTTTAAAAGCCTTGTAATGTCAAACTTGGCAGAAATTTACTCCTATTCAGGGAATAAAAAATATGATACTCTTATTTTGGAATTTCAAAACGTTTTTACTCCTATTTAGGTCAATTTCTGATCCACTTATACCCTCATTCTTTTTGCGTGCACGCGCACAATTATTGTAATAACAACATATAATATAATAATATATGACAATCATTATTATAATTATTACGGAGTATTATTATTATAACACTAATAGGAGCAACAGTGATAAAACTTATACTCCGTATTATTATTATAGCATTATTTCTTTGTGTACCCATGAAACAATTGTAAAGTGGCATGGATAAGTTCAAAACATGACAAACTTTGAACTTCTTTGTTTGGTAATGATTTCATTTATTTTATACTTTTATTTTTAAAAATTTAGACTTCTTACATATATAACATCTAGGTTAATCATATTAAGCTAAATGTTCGAGCTCTTTTTAAGCATCAGGGTAGATCGGCTACTTCCACCTAGCCGCGGGAAGATGAAGCATGGCTACTAGTTAGTGGATTGATTGAGGATTCACGAGGGCAATATATATACATTTATATCTGGACGCAGAAAGTTGATCGGTGAGGTAGAGAAGAATGTGTGGGTGGGCTGGACCAATACGTAGGTTTTTTTCTCCCGCTAAAATAAAACATTTCTTTTGGCGGGTGATGACAGATGTTCTTCAAACAGCGGATAAGCTGAGAAAGCGGAAGGTGGAGATATCGGGCGGCTGCAAGTTATGTAACGGGGAAGATGACCCATCTTTTTAAGTATTGTCGGGCTGTTGTTGTAGTTTGGGGAAAAGCCGGGACTAATTTCCGTTGGCACGAGTGGATGGAAAAATTGTTCAGTGCTTTGCTAGGGGGGGATTTATGCGAATTCATTCTCTCTTGTGGAGCGTATGAAAGGAACGTAATGAGGTAGTATGGGATAAACAGTGTTTTAATGCTTTGCGTGTGATAAATATGGAAGCTTCTATACTTATAGGATGGCGGACCACACAAGATATCACAGTGGCAAGTAGAGGAATGGGGGAGAACGAGACATGTACGTTGGACTAAACCAGCTGCTGGAACAATCAAGATAAATGTTTGAGTTATTGATGATCATAGGGGGGAGATGCGCCTGGTGATGGATTGAAAGAGAACACAACGGTGGATGGGAATCTCATGTAGCGGGCTGGTCGACCAACATTACAGGGGCACTTGGTGTTCGAGCGGCGCTCATATGGGCAAAGAATCAAGAATGGAATCAGATCGTGCTAGAGACAGATGATCACGACAAGGTTGGAAGAAAGATCAGGAAGTTCTTATTTAGATACTATAGTTGATGGTATTAGATACATCCTTCACAATCATGCTTGCTAGGTTTGTTGTCCAGATCTGTAAACGATCCGCGAATAGTGTAGCCCTTAAGTTAGCTAGAGCCGCATTATGCAATGTGGGTAGTGAATCTTTTGATGTTAATTTGTCTTGTATTTTGAGTCAGTTGACAAACAATTATTTGAATTAATATATGAGGTTTGTTTTCAAAAAAATATTAAGCTATATGTATTGTTCTGAGAATAGAGGAGAGTGTTGTGGTAGACGCGTGACGATCAAGAGTCACTTTGTCACATCATAAGACACGACTCGAAATATGAATATCATCATTTTTTGAAAATTTTACCCGAAATAGGATTAAAACTTAAAAGGGTTTGAAAATTCCAAAATAGGACTGCCGTGTTTTTATTCCCAAAATAGGACTAATCATTGTCATGTTTTGACAGTACCAAACTTCAAACATAGCAGTATTTTTCAAACTTGGCAGTAATTACTCCTATTTTGGGAATGAAAAACATAGCAATGCTATTTTGGAATTTTCAAACTGTTTAAGTATTATTTCGGGAACTTTCCCTTATTTTTAACATTAACATCATGGATCAGTTCATGTTAGCCAACTCCAACATTGTTTGGGATTAAAGCTTGGATGTTGTTATTGTTGTTGAATAAGTCAGATGTTGTATAGCTTTTATCTTAGGTAGTCTTGGACCCGGTTCGGGCTGCCCAGCCCGGCCCGCTACTGTGCGGGCCCGGAACCGACCTGGTTCTTGGGTCCGGGTCTGATTCAGTGCCCGAACCAGTGGGGGGGGGGGGGCGGGTCCGGGCTCGGGGCTTGGTTTTGGCGACCCGGCCGGGTCGGGCCCGGGTCTGGGCCTAACGGCCATGATGTTTTTTAAAAAAAAAATTACACCTATTAAATTAACATTTGTTTAAATACCAAGTATAAATCAAACCACTTTTCTAAGTAAAAATAGCTTTACTTAATTCATTAAATTAATTAACTTATATTACAATATGTATAATTTTCAAATAAAAAATATTTAAAAAAAAATAGCTCCCAAACGGCTATATAGCCGTTGGGGCTTTGGGTGGGGGGCAGGGGGGTCCCGGGGGTGGTGGTGTGGGGAGTGGGGTTCAAAAAAATTCTATAAATACATCTATTTTCTAATATTTTTCTACACCTCTTCTCCATCTTCATCATCTCTTATTATCCTACATTCCTAGTTATACATCTTAGGTAAAGATGGAAAGTAAATCTTCCCTCATGCAAAACAATTTTGATAAGTGGAAGTAGGGGTGGACTCGGGCCGGGCGGCCCGGCCCGGAACCGGCCCGGCCCGGTTACTGTTTGGCCCGGCCCGGGGCCCGGTGGGTCCACCGGTTCGGTTCAGCCCGGCCCGGCTGCTGGGCGGTCCGGGCTCGGGTCCAGTTTTTGGTGAACCGGCCCGGCCGGTTCAGGCCCGGTTCGGGCCGGTTTTTTTTTTTTTTTTTTTTTTTTTTTTTTTTTTGAATTTTTTTTTAAGTTTTGGGTTGGATTAGGTATTTTGGGCCATTTGAGGTGGTTTGGGGTGGTTTGGGGTTGAGGGGGAGGGGTTGGGGGTTAAATAGAAAAGCAAAAAAAAAAAAAACATTAGAACCGGTTTGGCCCGGCCCAGCCCGGTTTGGCCCGGAACCGGAACCGATTTGGTCCGGCCCGGCCCAACTTTCTTGGCCCGAGGCCCGGCCGGGGCCAGACCCGAACCGGGCCCGAACCGGCCCAAGTTCAGGCATGAGTGGAAGGACCCAAAGACCAGACTGTGATGGGCAACTTGCATGTGGTGCAAGAAAGAGTTTGATATTTATGAAATCCTGTGACAAAGGCAAAACAACAACCAACGATGGCGGAAATCCCAATTGATATTTATTAGAAAATGTATTTCATATTATTATTTTTTTCTCAATTCTCAAATGTAGTTCATATTTCAAATAAATGCACTTGAACTTTGTTTTTAATAAGAATTTGTATAAACTATAATTGAAAAAAAATTAAACATGACCCGGCCCAGCAGGTGGGCCGACCCGTGACCCGAGCGGGTGACCTGGCCCGAACCCGCACCGGCCATAGCACGGGCCGGTCCCGGGCCTCCCTCTAATAAACCCGAGGCCCAACCGGGCCTTGTCCCGGCCCGGGCCCGACCCGGGTCCATGACTAATCTTAGGTAAGGAAGCATATTCTCAATAGATTTCGTCGACTTTTTTCATATATCTCAAAAAAATTGTCACTTGTCTTATAAAGTAATGAATTTGCGACTCTAAATGTTTCTCAAATTCAGTTGACAATTTCTGATGGGATTAAAGAATTAGCATTTATTAAACTTGAATAGAATATTTGGGATTGTGGCTATATTTGATGGTGCGAACCAAGGTGTGTCGTAGGTAATGTTACGATCTCATAGAAGATACTCCGCATTAATAATTTCCTAGCACGATTCACATAAAGTGACACTAAACTACTAAACGAAATATAAATACAGCTTCATAAATGTCTACAAATTAATAAGCGTGAATGAGGGTAGGGGTAAGGGTAGGGGTGTTTAGATAAATATGCACATATCCCAAAACTAGTAACAGCTATATGTAATCTGAACCGTCGCCAAAATGTTCCAGATCAGGATGATTTCTGCCACTTCCTCCTGGTCTACTCGGATCCCTGCTGCAATTTTCAAATAAAATTAACAGTGCTTGGAAGGAGGTATGGTGTGTTGGGGAGGGGGCATGTAAAGTAGTCTACCTTGTTTGGATAGAGGTAAAGGAGGTCGAGAAAGGTATGTGGGGGAAACTCTTAAATCCTAGGGCAATCCATTACCTCCAAAATGGAGGACAAGTGGACAACTACGAAAGAGAAGGGAAATAAATGAAATGCCCTTGTAACTTAATTTACCTCATAATTTGCCTTTTGTCCATTAACTGTTCAACATTGGTTACCAACCTCACATTACATGACTTAATTTTACCTCATCTCACCTTCCTTCCAGACATACCCTAAGTTGTATCCATAGAACTGATCATTAATATGATGACAGATTCATCCCCATAGAGTATTAGAGTATGCTCATATATTTTGCATTACATTATATTATAATAGAATGAAGGGTCTTTTGAATAAATACTACTCTTTGTACAAACCAATGCAAACCTTGTCAAAATAAGGCTTCCTAAAGGTTTTCGGAGAACAGAACAAAAGAGCAAGTGGGAAGTCACAATGTCTTACTGGAATGTCAATAACCTGGCACCTATGAAGCCAGGAAATTCTTAGGGTGTTGACGACTTGACGTTTCAGCAAGTTTTGGAAAACCATCAAGAAAAAGAAACCTATAATACAAAGCTTTCGCTTAAAGACTTGTTGACTTGGACTCATTTTATTCACACATCAGACCAGATCAAACTAGATCATTCTTGTCACTTAATTATGTTGGTCCACAACTGGACCAAAACAACAACATTACCCCAGTGCCGCAAAGGCCGGACATACGCAACCTTACCCATGTACTAAACGTCTAAACCATAGAGAGACTGTTTACGGATAAACCATGATGATAATCGTGCTGAAAATTGCATGGGCTTGATGTTACTTAATAATAAAGAAGCACAAACATTTTAGTGAGCTACTTTGCTTTATCCTATGATATTCTCAAGCCAAAAAAAAAATAGTGAACCTTTGACTCCATTGGATATAGGCCACTAGATTTAAACAAACTAGGCTAGGCTAGGCTAGGCTTGGATAGTAATAAAATAAACATATTATTATCAAAACAGATCAGTTCCTAAATATAACATCTCACGCTTCAGCTTTCCTATTTATGTACTACTCAGTTTGCCACATAAACAGTTATAAATGCCACCACTCCCTTTCAATTTTTTACCCAATGAATTGAGATATAAATGCGTGCACTTAACCTCTATATACAATTGACTACGAACAATATGCATAAACATACCTGATAAAACGGCCTGGCTCAAAACCAGGAACACCTGGTGGACCGATTGGATCAAAACGAGCACCTGGTGGTACACCCCTGCACCAATTGGGGACTTGGGAGTTAGGCGGCTCAAAGTAGCAATGATTTAGGGTATCTTTGGATGGATAGCTTAGTCTGTATCTTGATAAATAGAATATTTCTGAAAATGAATAGAGGTTTTTTAAATATTGTTATATAACACATTACGTCATTCCTTTAATCCTTAGTCTCAATTATATATCATACATACACTTAGCCATCCAAAGCCCTCCCAAAACACAACTCCCAAACTAATCCTCAGGTTTAATCCTCATTGCCTATCCCCTTATCGGAACAACTATATTTCAAAAAAGTAGATAAAAGAGTGTAAAGGGGTCTGTGGAGCATGGGATGCCAGGAAAAAACGTACTGCAGTCCCCCAGGAAAAGCAGCGTCACCACCTATCCTTGGGAAGAAACGAGCATCCCTGGGCCCTGAAAGAAATAAGAGTAACCATCAACTTGAAAGACCTACTTCAACATATGAAAACCAAACACCAAGAACAGTCACAAACCTACGAGCATGCTTCCATAGCCACCGGTATCTCTTCAAGCACAAAGACCAAAGAACAAACAAGCTCAGTTAGAAGCACCGTTCAAGCAGAGCACTTAAAAATGTAGTTAAAAGAAAGCTTAAGAACCAAACAAAGAAAGCAGAGCACTTAAAAATGTAGTTAAAAGAAAGCTTAAGAACCTGGTAGGGTAAACTCCAGCACCAGGTGCAGGAATAGTATCACTGCCGCCGAAAGCAGGTATTGGAGGCACAACATATCTATAAAAGTATAAAGACGGAATAAGAATTATCATTATTATTACGATTAAAACCATGAAGAATATTTAATAACACAAAATCTGGAAAATAAGCACTCCCATGAAAATCATTTCAGATTATAAACCACATATTTACAATGCAAAAATGAAATAAAATACAAAAAATAGAATTGAACTAATGCAATGGCGTTCACCAAATAGTCCATTGATACATATTTAGATACAAGTGAGCAACGAGATGCTGTACTCCATAGGAAGGGTATCGAGTACTTGAGAAAAACATTGGCATGTCGTGTTAAATCACAGTGAAGCACTTGAGTACTTGAAGTTAGCCCAGCATGGCATCTAGGTTCACAGGTCAAATACATCTATACAACAACAACGTCCAAACCTTGATCGCAAGAGTTTGGGCATCACATACATCCGTCCCAAAAATTCGACGTAAATTCATGTAAATATGGACTTCAAGCAATTCTTAAGGTATATGAATACATCAATTAAAGAACGAACTAGATCATCACATGTTGACTCAATAATAGTCTACAAAATAACGCAGTTAAGTCAGAGCCAAATTACAATTACAAGTTACAATGAGTTCCTTTATAAAAAAAAACTTTTTGTACACGTCAACTAACAGATTTAATCATGTCTACACTTAATATTGGTTTCACATATGACATACTCCTAAGTTCCTAAAAGGATATGAGGGTCAAACAATTCATCTAAAGTACCTCACCGGGCTGACAAAAGAATATATCAATATATAATAACATATAACAATACTTAATTAAGTTGAACAATTCAAATTCTAGATTGAAATTACCCTGGAGGAGAATAACCCGAAGGCATATCAGCATCGTCTCTGATAACTCTCTTTTCAGAACTGTACATGAGAGACATTAAACAGGAATGGTCAACAACTTTATCTAGCTAAGGTAAAAACCTTTATATCACAAATAAAAATAACCACTACACCAAGTTCAAATAGCCGAATTGCAGCGGTTCAAGGGAAAATTAACCCTCAAAATTTTGTATTTATGTCCAAACACCAAAGCTACCATTATAATAAATTAAATATAGTAATTCATGTTGAGCTATGGACAAGACCATAATGTACTTCCTGTTTCAAAAAAAAATGTTTCAAGGCCTATTTATTCCCACTTCAGCCCTCTATGCCCCATATCCACTCTCAACACTCATATCCTTCATGCAGAGCATGTATCTTGGTTCTTCTTTCTCGACTCTCATTTATTTGTTTTCTTCCATACAAATTATATCTCTCTGCTTTCCTTTCTCATTTCTTGTTTATTAGCTCTCCTTACACGGATGACTATCTCTTGTCTCTCCAATGTCCTCTCCCTATGAAAGGCATACTTTCGAATCTTATCTCTCTGACTTGTCTAACGGCTCTCTTTTTTTTAACTAAAGGAGAAAGTGTTGGCTTCCATTCTATTACCCCTAGTGCTGGAAGTCACCTCAAAGAAGAAAGATGTGATCTCTTGATAAGCATAAGCATTCTTCTCGATAAGACATAAGATTCAGAAAACACAGAAAACAAACAAAAAGCATTTGCATAATTGATACTTCCTCCGTCCCATATTCTGTTGCAATTTCACTATTCATTGGGTCAACACACTTTCTTTTTATTCTACGTTTGGAGCATCATCTTTTTACCATAGCCAATTTTGTTTCTTGCACATCAATCGAACTCCATAACTTTGAAATATATAAACTCTACCTTCAGTCAAATCATACACGGTACATGGTACACCACAAATTGCAACAGAATATAACAAAAAAGGAAATAAACACTTGCAGCTACCCTATTTAAGCTGTGTTATCTAATCAGTAAGTACTCGGCGAGTATTCGCATGTTGAGGTGGCCATTCCGTTTAGCAATCCGACTCAGCCCGTCCTATTTTTCAGAGTTACTTGGCGAGTTTCTTGACTTGGGGAAATTTTTTACTCAGCAAGTCACTCGGCCAGTCATAAAATATTTTGTTTTGGTTAAATCTGAAAAGTTTTAATTAAAGAGGGATATTATGGAATTTATAAATAATGAGTGGGCATTTTACAAATTGGAAATTAATCTTAAAAGTCTAGGTTTTAAAGTATTTCAGACATCAGCTCATTCCAGCAGTGGCTCCTCCTCATCTCTCGGTAAGTTAGTCTCCTCCATGATTCTATCTTCTTTCTCTTTCTTCTTGATTAGGATTATTATTATTTTATTCATATCTAAGAATTATAAGAATAACATACTCCCTCCATATTTAAAAGATCGCTACGTTTGGTTATGGCACAAGATTTAAGGTAGAATAGTATGAGTAATGAATAGTATAGAAAAAGTAGGAGAGAAGGTGAAAAAGTAGGAAAGAAATGATAAAAAGTAGAAAAAGTAAGGGTAATTGAGTATTTTTAAAGGAAAAACTTACCAAAAAGGGAAAGTGTGGGGAACTTTTAAATACATCCTAAAAAGGAAAGTGTCGGAAACTTTTAAATACGGAGGGAGTATTAATATAATTTTTCCAATTTAGGGGAGTCAAAAGTGATATTCTGCTTCTTGGGTTGGATGAAGGTATGACTTTGGAGTTTGGAGAGAACAAAGTGGAGTGTGGTATTCGTGTGGAGGAGTGATCTCGTATCATCTTTTCCTCACATCTTTTTTTTCTTGTTCTCTTTTATCCTTATATTTAAAATATTTAAATATTATCTTTATCCTTTTTATTTAATCATTTTTATGTATATTCATCTCTTTTTATATTATCTTTTTTATAATAACTTATCTTTTTATCTTTATTTCTTTCTTTTCCTTTTCGTGGTGATATCATGTATCGATTCATGTTAGCCAACCCCAATATCTTTTGGGGCTAAGGCTTGGATGTTGTTTTGTATATTTTTAAAATTAATTAATATAAGACCGAGTAATCGCCGAGTAATCTCGAGTACTCGGTCCTACTAGCTACTCGGCCCTAGACTGAGTTGCTACCGAGTAGCAATTTAACTACTTAGTAGTTACCAGAATTGCAAAAAATGAAATGGTTTTCACATAATTTCATTTTCCAGTGTAGAAGATTTTCACCTTAATTAAAAACATGGTCACATCAGTATGAGAAACTCTCCATTTTTTAACACGTTTACCAATGTCCCATTTGAGCCCATGCACCTACACTGAGGTCTAAACTAAAGCATATAAATCTATGTCTAAGATTCGTGTCCCAAGCTATAGCAATCTTCTAGAAAGCAACATACACGCTGAGCACAAGCAGAAGGAAGACGCCTGATTTTAGCCAAATAAGCAACAAAAATTGGTCAATCACTCTGCCGGTCCTACTGTCTTAACTCCTAAGCCATTCAGGCTACTTAAAACACTTTTTAGGCTGAGAATGTGTCGTTTTATTCATACATTTTTCCTTGAACAACAATAAGTCAATAACAATAGTACAATACATATACGCTACATGAAATGTGAGATAGTTGATGCTATCTTTTATGATTTACAGAGTGTTGAGTCATCGACAATTGCAACTCATTTCATTCACAATCTTTACTTTTATCTCATCCTAATTGAATTTGAGATCAACTTTTCCTGTAAATTAGTATTAGTGAATAACATGAAGTATACATTAAAATCATGTTAGATTAATAAGTATATGTCATCTTGTAGGCGGCAGTCCACTGCCCCCTGGCACCCAATGTCTTCTATAACACTTGACTACAGGTCCAGATGTGAATGTCCATTACCTCTCCACTATCCTTATCTTTGCATCTACTTTGGTCTGTGTGTTCTTGATTACTTACTAATGCTTTAATTCCACAGCCTTAATCTGTGTAAAGTATGATAGCCCATTTTTCAATTTTATATTCTGTTTTTCTAGAAAATGTAAAATTTCTAATTTTGTAAATAATGCCCTAAAATCCCCGATTTTGTCCTGCTTTCTTTTCCCCCAAAAAATCCAAATTCCCATCGAACTTTAAATGATAGCCCAATGCAAAAGCTCTCCCATGCAAAATGGGCTGCGGTATGAACAAAAGCATGTCCTCTTAAACAAGCAATTGGAAGACCAAGTAACATTTACCTTGATGCTTGAGGGGACGATTTCACTGCAGAAGAGACCTTGTAATTGTTTGAAATTTTTGTTGTAATTTCTTCAACTAGCTTACTGAAATTCTTATAGTGGGTGTCGTAATTGGCATCTCCGTCCTCAACATAGTCCTGAATGCTGCACATTGCCAACAATACCAATCCCAACAGTTTATAACTGAATTATCAATACGCCTAATTCACTGAGAAAAGAAAGGAACTTACTTCAGTTCGAGATGATGACGCTCATTATCACCCTCCCCCAATGCATCAACAAGGAGTTTGTCATTCATAGCGAGGCACTTAACTAACACCTTCTTTGACCTTCTCTGACGGTGTGAATAAATGAAGGCGTATTTGTTCTCAAAATCATTCCAGTGATCGATACCGACCTCATCTAAATAAGCAAAAAAAAAAACGTAAACCAAACCCTCAAACAGCAACGCAAATTCGAATTGCAAATACTCGTTCTAGAGGATATTTACCACTGGAGGATGAAGAGAAGGGATCGTCACAAAAAGCAGGGGCGCCAGTGGCGAGGGTAGCAAAGCCAGAAGCAACAAATGAAGCGTGGACGGCAAAGGCCACCTTGTCATGGGGATTTCTGAAGTTTGGCCTCGTTGACCTGATCACTATCATCGCTGCTTCTTCGATCTCCATGCTACTACAATCAAGATTTAACGTTCAGGAGATTGGAGTAGGGTTTAACAATCTGATCAAAACGGTGCTTGATACAGTATGGTCAGTAAAAATCATATTCCTTAGTCGGTTTTAAACGGTGTACTGGCCGGGCACACAAACGGCTTTGCAAAATATAGGGAAGGTCTGCGGTACATACCTGACGATCTGTTATGGAAGAAGGGGCCGAAGGTCTGTCCAGAATATGGAAGAAGGCTAGAGATGGATTTCGGCCGACCCGTTGTATACCGCACCGAACCAATTTGGTCAAATTGGGGAAAAACGGTTAGACTGGGGAATGAGTATGGGGCGGGGAATACCCGATTTTTTTAAATGGTTAATGGTGCGGTTATGGTTCTATACTAATCCGCCCCGTTATCCACCCCGAAACCGCCCCGTTCACTAATGGTGCAAGTACTCGCACCGTTACCCGATCCGTAACATTATTAATGAATTATAATTTTTTATAGGGATAAGGGTCAGATAGGGCCTCGAACTTGAAAAAAAATGTCAAATAAGGCCATATTTAGGATGCTCTGTCCGGCCGACGCCATTTGGGGTGGTTCCCGGTGGAATTTTTTGATGAATTTTTTTGAGAATCTTATTCATTAAGTCTAGTTTACTCATATCAAATTTGAACTAACAATTCAATCGGGAAGGCATTCAAATGAATTCATGAAGATAACTGCGCTTTTAACGGTACAGTTATCTTCAAGAATTCATTTGAATGCCTTCCTGATTAAAGTTTTAGTTCAAATTTGATATGAGTAAACTAGACTTAATGAATAAGATTCTCAAAAAAATTCATCAAAAAATTCTACCGGGAACCACCCCAAATGGCGTCGGCCGGACAGAGCATCCTAAATATGGCCTTATTTGACATTTTTTTTCAAGTTCGAGACCCTATCTGACCCTTATCTCTTTTTTATATATAAGAATAATAAGTATATATGCTAAATTGTGTATACTAAATAGTATATATCATATAAATAATGCTAAAAAGTATACTACGGATTACTTTTTAGGCCTAAAACTAAATATAGGCCTAAACCTATTTTTGGAATTTGGATTTTGGGATGATTACTAGTTACTACTTTTTTACTACGTATTATGTTACAAGAGATATTAGGTGCATGTCATACTAATGGATTTAGGTCAGTCTGCTTGATTGCTTAAATATTTACTTTTGTATGTTTTAGAGTGCTCTGAATATATAAATAACAAGTAGGATTAGAAATTGGTTATTTATTTTCCAAAAAAATGGTTATTTGGCATCATTTGGGGAAACGGTTACCCGTGGATAAACCGATTCCTCGTTGGGGCGGGTACGGTTCAAATAAAAATTACCCGAATGGGTAATGGGGCGGTTTTGGGGCAAACATTTATCCAACGGGGCGGTTTTGGTTTTATGTGTACCCGTCCCCGATCCGCCCCGTTGCCATCACTAAAGAAGGTTGTTGCGCTGGTCTTCAGTCTTCAGAGGCGAAGGTCTGCTAGGCGGGATACGGAAGCATGTGGAGGGGAAGGGTATGGTCGAGAACTATTTATTGTTTGAAACCCTCTAAACATAAATCTCCTAATCACATACGAAGTACTACCTCCGTCCCATTTTATGTGTCTTCTTTGCTTTTGTCACAATTTTTAATAAAGTGGTTGAAAAGGTAAAAGTTGCGGTTGAGATTTGGTTATAGTAAAGTGAAGTGTTGTGAACCACATATTTCTTTCCAAAGAGGGAATATGAGCACTTATTTTGGGACAACCCAAAAAGGAATGTAAGACAGGTAAAATGGGACGGATGGAGTACTAAACAAGGAGAAATGGTTTAGGAAATCTAGTTTAGGATACCCATACTTACGTTTCTCAACCGAATATTGATTTTTAGAAGTTTTCAATTTTTTAAAAAAACATGAGTTAATTACCCATATAGGTGTGTCAAGAGCACAAATAGGAATACATGTTTTTTCTTCCACCTAGTAGGACTATTTTATGTATTTGGACAAATATGCCCTTGACGCTTTTGAAAGGTCTTGATTAATAATAAATTCATAAAAAAGATGTCAAAAATAAAAAAAATGTCAAAATTTATTCAAAAAATTCGTAAAATATTTATAAAAAAATTGAATTTTTTTAAATTATAAAAAAAGAGAGAAATAAAAAAACCACCGCCCCTACCACCCCCAGCACCACCCCCTCTCAGCACCGGTTGGAAATCTGCCAAAATTTGTAGTAATGTCATAATAATGGCAGAATCAATGACAATTTTGGCATTATGATGAGTAAAAATTCCATTTTTCTTGGCATTTTCAGAAAACAATGGCATTTTTTACAAATAATGGCAGGATATATACCAATCGTATTTATCCATTTTTTATTTTTTTTATGGATTTTTAATATTTTTTATTAATTTTTTCAAAAAAAAAAATCAAAAACAGAAATCTGCCAACAATTCTAGTAATGCCATAATAATGGTAGATTCAATGAGATTTTTGGCATTATGAAGAGTAATTATGCCATTTTCTTGGCATTTTCGGAAAAAAATGGATTTTTTTTAAAAAAATGGCATAATTTTTACCGGTCGAAGGTGGTGGTTCTGGGAGGCGGTGAGAAAGGTTTCCATATTTTTTAAATTGTTTTATGATTTTTTACTATTTTTAATAATTTTAAAAAAAAATTAAAAAATAAATAAATTTTTTATTTTTAAAATATTTTTTATTTGTTTATTATTTTTTTGCGTTTTTTTTAAATTCGATTTTTTACTATTTTTTAAGATTTTATCATGCATTATTACATGTTAGTATGGAATAATACCCTTAAGGGCATTTTGGGTATGCTGAATTTGTTTAGTCCTATTTTGGATGGTAAAAAATGTAGTGGTCCTATTTGTGCTTTTTTAGTTATTTCTAATCTTACTTAGAGCAATTACTAAAAAAACATCCAAGATTTACCTAACAAATTTCTCAAAAAAATGAAAATTTAAAAATAACATTTTACCTTGCTCTTACGTGGTACAATGGGCCTATCCATAATTCGTTCATCTTTAAGTTTCTCATCCCACCTATCTCTAATTCACTCATCTTTTACGTGGTACACAACTAATGGGTCTATCACTATCTTTTTGGAATCAAAGCGATGTTACCCCTGGAAATTAGTAGCTCTAGTGGAAATTCATATTAGGATTTTTATACTACCTCCGTCCTCTTAAAACTTTGTCAAAGTTGACCGGCACGGAAAATAATAAGATAAAAATTGTGTGATTAATATTTGTGCAGAGGAGAGAAAAATAACAAATACCACAAAATAATTGATTAAAAGGGAAAGTGACAAAATATTGTTTCTATCTTCATTATTCAAGAACTTAAAGTCATCGCACCTTTAGTTTTTTTACTTGTTTTTCATTTTAAATTAATGATTTGTGATGACTATTTATATTTCGAGATGCACTATTGTATATGAGATAAAGAGACTGTTTGATAACACCGTTTTTCAGCTCATCGGGCTTATCAACCAACCTTTTCATCAAACATGTAACTTTTGTTTTCGCGCGTTGAATTGTGTAATAAGCAGAGAAAGTAAGGTTGAAACTACTTTTCTAGCTGTATTGGCTGAAGTTACTATAGATGATCATTTTAGCTATTTTTACATATAATTTTTTCTTTATTTTATTAATAAAATATATTTTAAATTTGTTTCTTCTTAAATCAGCATAATCAGTCAATGCAGCCACTTCAGTTAGAACTTCATAAATTTCAATAGAATCAACCAAATCAGCCGTTTTTCGTGCTACCAAACGGACTCAAAGTATGAATTTATTTCTGCGTATCTTGATAATTTAAAATGCTCCAATGTCTAAAAGGATAATATGTGTATATATTTTCAAAAAAGTTGTAATTTTTAATATCATAAATACACCCCCATAATTTTTTATATTTATAAATACACCTTCATAACTTTTAATATTTATAAATATACCCTCGTACCCGTATCCTACTATCTTTTGTTGTGGTGTCCCCATACCCAATTTTACGTTTCTGCGTTTCCGCAGTGCCACATAGATCCCATCGTTTCATTTTTTATGTTTCAGATCAAAATGCCATACTAACAAGCCATTTATCAAACGCTTAACTTCAGCGTTTTGACCGGTTAAAACGCTGTCTTTGATCAAACCAACCAAATTTTGGCTGAAATGCCATTACCAAACGTGGCATATAAGTGAGGTTTAAAATGAATAATAAATGAATAACATTTAGGACTAATATTTAAAAAAAAAACACTTAGGAGTTAGGACTAACAATTAAATGAGATCTTGTTTACATAGCTTCGAAAAAGTATTTACAAGAACACATGGGTCAGACATACAAAAGGCAAATCCAACATGTCCAAATGAGGGTATAATACTCCCTTCGACCATTTCAGTTAGCAAAAAACTATTTTTTAAGTCAATAGTCTCTAAGTTTGACCGTCCAGCCGGCCTGATGTAAACCGCCGTTCGGTCGAGACCATTTAGGACCCTTCCCGGTAAACTTTTTGATGAAATTTTTTGAGCATATTTTTCATCAAGTCTAGTTTATGTCCACCAAATTTCAGTTAAAAATCATTCGGAAAAGTAGTTAAATAAATTATTTAAGAAAACTGCACAATTATATATATATATATATATATATATATACAACGCAATTTTTTCAAAAAAAAAACTATTTGACTGCTTTCTCGATTGAATTTTATCTGAAATTTGGTTGGCATAAACTAGACTTGGTGAAGAATTGGCAAAAACAATTTATCAAAAAATTCGACCAAGAAGGGTCTCAAAGAGCTTCGGCTGAACGGCGGTTTCCAGGAGGCTGGCTGGACATGAAAGATTGTCTATATTTATATACATAAGTATTGATAATATGAAAAAGATATAAAAATGTTCTTTTGTCCAAAATACTAGTATAAATGTATAAAATTATTAAATTGTACATCACTATATTAGTTAAAATAATTGATCAAAGTTTATCATTTTTGAGTGGAAAGTCAAAGATGACTTACTAAATTGGGATGGAGGTAGTATATACTGAAAGTTAGTTATGCGACGTTATCCAAATTCAATAATTTATTAGAAGTTCTTTTCTCTTTGAAGTGAAAGTACTCAAGATATGTGCTGATCTCCATGTGTTAAGTTTTCGTAGTTGTCAAGATTTCTTTGAAAAAAGGGAAAATTTGGTCCTACTTTCATGAAAAAATCAATTAGATTCTCGTACTTTTAAAAAGATCAATCAAATTCCCGAACTTTGT